CTACTGCGTTTTTGATACCGGCTGGCTCGGGTCGCTTGCTCGGCCGCCTTCCTTTGGCCGATACTACAGTGACCATAACTGATCAAACGGGGTTCAACAAAATAGTTCAAAACTCCAACTTAAATGATATATGAGCTTCGGTTGAGTCAGCAAAACTGCATGAGAGTTTTGTTAAATTATTTTCACTATTCACCTCAATATGTACAAAAAGGGTTGCCAATACAAGACGTAAACCCGATTATGTACGGCTTAAGACACGGATTCTTTCGGCAATAAATTATTAAACTTTTATTTGAAATCGTCGCAAACGTTTCGCAAGCAATACAACTCTAAGGGACGAGTTTTGAAATTGCGAGGAATCAAACGAACGAATTAATCTGTTCTTCTATTAGGAGATACTTAAAAGCCCAATTTCTATGGAATCGTCTCGACAAAGCAAAAAGGTGGAAGTTATCCAATCAAACTAGACGGGGTACAAAAAAGCGTACTATTGATGATACGATAGAAAGGCTCTTTTCGCTTGTAGCGCAAAAAACAAACAAAAAACATTGATGATTTTATTGCTTTTTGCTCGTACTTCTGTGACGGCACGTGGTAGCGACTACCAATATTGTCACGGGTGGTGACCAATAAACAAGAAATAAACAGGAAGAAATAAACGTTTAATGTGGCGAACTTGTGCCACAAATAAAAGGGTACAAAAGATAATAACAGAGCGTTGCGGGCGTCGAAGTCGGCGTAGCAGCGAATCGAACGCTGGGGCGAAACTGACTCCGCTCGCCTTGCGGAATCCCTTATGTACAGTACCCTCGTGGGTTTCTGGATCGTTCGGCGTAGAAGGTTCGGCGCGAAGAACATTCTAACCTCGAAACAGCCAAGACGGTTCTCGAATTCACCAGAACATCACATTACAGTGTCAACAAAGATGTGTAGCCGCGGTCAGGAATCGAACCCTGGCCTTCTGCGTGGAAGGCATGCGCGATAACCGTTAGGCCACGCGCGCGCTGCCTACTTGGCCAGCTGCGCGCGCAGCAATATGATGTACCTATAGAAACAGAGTGCCTCTGGACAAGGTTTTCGTACCACCACCGCTTTAACAGCCCCGGCGATTGGGTCTTTTATCTTGTAGAGGACTCTGCCTAAATAGATATATTCACATGTATGTATCTATAGAGGGTCTTAATAGTAGTACTCCTAGGGGATGCTGCTGTACCAGCTAGACCGCTCTCATTCTACTCTAGGCCCCCTTAATGGGTCATGAAACAATATAGGATTGTAATGTACATGACTTTACAGACACGTATCTGGTCCTAGTCTGGCCCAAGTATACTCGCACGGGCCGCCACTGATTCACAAGCTTGTAATCGCGGTGAAACAGCGTGAATAAGTATGCTTGGGAGAAGAGCGTGTTGGTTTAAGTCATTGATGAAGAAAGAATAAAACAATTAAAACAGGGACAACACAACCACATCTTTGAAATATGTGGTTGTGTTGTCCCTGTTTTAATTGTTTTATTCTTTCTTCATCAATGAGCGTGAATAAAAGAGGGGAAAAATTGGTGTGTGTATTTTTATACAGCCGGAAGTTAGTCTGCATAGCCTTAGTGGGTGACTTGTCTCTCAGCTGTAGATGAGCAATTTAGCCAGTGCGGTACAACCGCCTGCCTGGGATCTTTAACGCGCACCACGCAGTAGTGATGATAAAAGTGGACTGTTAGGGGCGAAGCTCCTTAGGGTCTATCTTTGTCCGTCCGGCGTCCGTGCTCACATCGATTGCACTGCCTCCGGGATCGGCCCACTTTAAAGAAAGAAAAAACGTACGCCCGCACGGGTGTTCGAACTCAGGACCGCTTGCTTACGAGGCAGACGTCTTAACCGCTACGCTACACTCCAAAGTTGCATGTAGCCGCTCAACGTCTATACAGGAGAGAGCGCTGCGGTCAAATGCGTATACAATTGCGTTATACTTTGCATGCATTGGCTCAACGTTTATAGACGAGAGGGCGCTGCGGTCAAATCCTCAACTGCGTATATAACCACGATCCATACCACACATTCTCTTTCTGACATGATCCGTTGACTTAAGCGGTGGAGAAGCGTTCCCACGGCTTCTAGCGGATCTAAGCTGATCCCCTAAAATAACCACTGGCCCTGCATTTCACCGACCATAAAGCAGTAATAATGAAGTCGAAACGCAACCCGCAACTCTGCACTACCTATGAGCAATAACGAAAAATCAGCACCATTAGCACTACCCGTGAACAATAAGACCAGTATCATCAGCACCACCAGAGCTTCGCCCCAATCAACATCATTCAAGTTGTAGCGTATGCAGCGGAGGCACTGCTAAAGAGAGAGAGAGAGAGTGATTCATGTCAGTGGTGGCGAGCAGTCGGGTGCTTAAGATATCCGAGTCTGGCGAAGCTTTGCATCAAATACCTGGCAATACCTGCCGCTTCAGTAAGAGTTTTTTTCTGTGGCTGGAGGTGTACCTTTGCGCTCGAAGGGAGCGCCTCCTACCTGACCATGTGCAGCGGTTGATTTTTCTGCTTGACAACTTGTAATCTTCCCTACAACTAGAATTTTCGTTTTTGTGTTTTTATTCTCGTTAAGATTACAAGTTGTCATGCAAAAAAAAAAAATCGACTGCAATTTTGCAGTTTAAAAAAAAAATTATTGCTATTCCGACATGTCAAAATAAAAACGCTGTGAATAAATAACCCTACCTTCCACTATTCGATATTCGATTCGATATTCGATTCGATATTCGAGGCTAACTATTCGTATTCAATTCGTATTCCAAAATATTAATATTCTCACACCCCTAATAATTACGAAAAGGAATTCGAAGAAGTGCAATCCAATCCAATCTACAGGATGCACCACTCGGTCGTTGCAGCGTTCCTTTTGTTGGCAGTCATCAGACAGATACTGGAAGCAAGCGAACACGATCTAGAGTCCCCCTGCTATTTCAACCCGGCGTCCGGATTCATCGGGGACAGATCTTCCTGCACCTTCAAGCGCATTATAGACGTGGACCCAAATCGCATTCCCGAACGATCCCGACTGTGCGCTGCCAGTGTCTCGACTGACCTTGTGCGTTGGCTGGAGACTTCCGCTGCAAAGAGGTGACAAGGCGCGTGGATATAGTACGCGTGGAGAGGAACATTCATGTCAACGCATCCCTGGAAGTGACGTTGGCGTGGGTATGCGCAGCGCCTCAAGTCTCACCGGCAAACCCGACACCCCCGCATGACCGACACCGGTCCGCCTTCCTTGTGTGAGCCATGTTCCGGCTAGGTAAAGGGTATGATGACTGAACATATGGTTAGGGTCCACCTTGAGGGAATGATCGATGGCCTTTGTGTCAAGAAAAACACCTGGATAGTGATCAGTTTTTTTTTTTTTATATTCGATGAATATACAGCTGCTCCTCAGATCTGTTTTTATTACGGTTGATTAGAAAGCCAAGCGCGAATCACCTAACATTCAAGCCCAATATTTTTCTGCGGCCCGTTTTGTTTTAAAATAAGAAAACGCGACGCTTAATTGCTGATTGACTGTTAGATCAGTATTGAAATAGTGATGAATATAAAAAGAAACCTTAATGATGCGCTAAAATAAAGCTTTCGAAGCGGATAATCTCAAGGCTGCCTTTCTGTTTACGAACAGCCTATGTTCGTTCGCTCTGTTCCGTTATGCGCGCACATGACACGATGACGATTTCCATAAAAAAAATACTGAAATTGGGCTAAGCACTTGGTAATCGAAATAGAAAGGCGATCGACATGGGCGCCATATAAGAAAACACCCTTTGAATAAATTAGTGAAACAACAGTCACTTGACTAGATCAGTCATATTACGTACAAATATGACCCGAACCGACTCTCTACTCACTGCTACAGTCGGCTTCACCTTGAAACCTCTATCCAGCCCGTTATTGCTTTACCTTCGAGGGCACAGTTGGCCTCATAATTTGCAGTGTATAATCAAACGTGCAAGAAAAAACATTATAATCTGCTGTCGCACTACTCACACATCTAAAGAACGACAGGCAGCGGAAGACGCCGTTCGAGGCGTGTTCCTTTTTCCTCGTTGTTGCGGTCACCTGTGTAAGATTGGTCATACAAGAAAAAAGCTGTCCACAGACACGTTCGAAGAATGAATGAATGAAGGGATGTCAATGACTACCCTTTGTAACAGGCGATAGCTTGCGCCACCTAGCCCACGTCTAAAAAGACAAACACGGGATTCCCGCCGCCCTTTCAAGCCAATTTTCTCCCCCTAACTATCGTACGCAACAAACATGGTGCCTATTTGCTTGAGGCGGGTCCGCAGATATTTCTGTCCTCATGTCTGCGGAGAAACTCCGTGCGTTCTGTATGATGTATACGAGCAGTGCGTCTGGGACTTTATAAAACTGGAAAAAAAAAAAGACGCAAGAAGGTATTAAATATCGGTCAGACTTTAACTTTATAAACTTCTTTTACGCTTCACGTTGCGAAGCGTAAAAGCCTGCTGATTGAATACCATGTATGTATATAACGCGCATGAAAAAAAAACGGCCATATACCTCAATTTCTAAATGGCAGCGGCAGCACCGGCGAACGTTCGACTGCGCCCTGCAGCCTCATCCATCAAATCCGAAACTCGCGAGTTTATCCCGTGAGAGGAAGAAAAGCAACACAAAATACCAAACGGGCAACGGGCGTAACCAGACTACCATGACCGGTCACATACAAACACAGAATCTCGGGGAAACAACCACGACCTCCCCCCCCCCCCCCCTCCCCACCGCTCTTTCCAGTCACCAACCAAAGATGATACAGCGGTATATAGCGTGCGCAGATTGAACCGGAAGCTACTTCCGGAGCCGCAGACAACGTCCGGTCAGAACGATACGCGACCTCAGCAGCGGAAGCAGGCTGACTGGCCATAGGGACGAAGAGCGGTCCATTTGACGAAATAGTAAAAAAATAAAGAGAAAAAGAGTGGCTGATCAAACGGCGGCAAGTGCGCGCCTGTTTCTGCCACCACTGCATCGCCATGAACCCGGGCAGTTGATTCGCTGCCTGCGCGGTCCTCAGTCGACGATGACGTGGTTCGCAACGAAGAGTTGGCATCACTACATGGTAAGGAGCGCTCTGGCCTATCTTACAGAGATATTCACTGACAGCCTAATCAGCGCAGGGCGTAGCGTACAATGTTCACCCTTCTAAATTCGTATTCATCTTAAGAACCGTAGTGAAAGTAGTCCACTTTTTCGCGGAACATTACTTATTTGCTCCTCTCATGTGTTCAGTTAAGATATATGTAAGTGCGCCCTAGATTAGCCTTTTGTTTGTTTATCAAGACGTACACGTTTCCGACGCCAAAGGCGTCGTTTCCTCCTTTGACAACTAAGTCTTGTAAGAACTACTTCGCGAGACGCATCAATATTGCGCAAAACTTCCTTCTTTCTTGGTGTGGCAAAAAGTATAGCTTTCTTATTTGTTTTATGCGTTTTTTTAATGACGCTATCTTAGTGGTTTTAATGCAATAATAAGACGCTTGCGACTGGGCACTCCCTGGTTTTTTTAAACCGTCGGTGACTACTGAATGATCACCTTCTACATCGCTCTATGTAATGCACCTGAAGGGACACAGGTTATCGCAAGCGTCGTTGACCTAAGTTCAAAAAGTACCAGCATAGATTCCAAAAAGAAAAAGGTACATAAAAGACAATGCAGACGGCATAGGTTTAAAAGCCTGCTTTGTCTGTATGCGGGCAGACATTGAGGGAGAAAAGGAGACGAGAGCGCTCGGGGACGTCAGTACATCGAGCCTTGGTTGGAATGAGTAGTGGGTAGACCTAAACTTAGCTCTTTTTGTCTCCACTGCACTCGTTGAACACGATAGAACGCGAAACGCCGGCGTCCGGCGTTTGATGTTCGCGTTCGAACGCGTTCCAGCAGTGCAGTGACATAGCATCCTCTATACTCTCAAAGCCTGGCAGTTCGACGTCGGAGCCATAGAGTGCCCGGTCGAAGATTTGGAGCTCGAGGATCTGGTAGCACAGAGCATCAAAGAGCCATTTCTCGGTGAACCTGGACGTCAGCGCACAGCTTTTGCAGCGGCGAGGGCCCGAAACACACTTGTCCGCTCGGGAGAAGTGTGTTTCGGCGTCTCGCCGCAACGGGGCGCCAGTCGCGTGGCTCTCCTCTCATCCGTTGTCTGCCGCTCCACCTTTTCTATTTCGGCGGCCGCTTCTCGTGGCGAACTGCCAGGCTTTGACAGTATATAGGAGGCTATGGGCAATCAAGAAAAAGGCAGCTGGCTTTGAGTTTACACACTAATAATTCCAACCAGATCTCGGTGTTCTGGCGTCTTCGCGCGCTCTCTCTTCTCCTCTCTTTCAGTTTCTGTCTGGATTGGTTTCTATTGGCGGTGAGAAGCTCGCAAGGGGCGCTTCTGTTTTCCTCAGTATGGGTAGTGCGCGTGCAACCCACGCGGTTCTGTTTTAATTTTCATAGTGCCTAGTGGCTTGGCATTGCACGTGCTTACACCAGCAGAGGAAGTTGAAGTAACGTCATTGTGGGTTGTGAAAAAAGTTCACCAGGCAGCGATACCCAAACTTCTCGCCACGAATTCTTTGTTCACCCTTAAAGTGACCGCTTCACTTTACACGAGCTTACTGGCACTACTGGGACCCGAGTATATTCGCGCGCAACGCCAGTGACCAAGAAACTCCTTTGTTGCGGTGTAATTTCAAGGACAAAGGCGTGCGTTTTCATTCAATCTCTCCTTTGCAACACTTTATGACGCAGCTGGTGGATTGCAGTCCCCCCCCCCCCCCCCCCCCTTCCTGCCCCTTCCCTTCCACGGACGATATTTGAATGCGGCTCCTAGACTGGACCCGAGCATTGCGCGAGCACTCGATTTCGTCTCGTGATATTCACTAGATGACCAGCATTCGGGTAGTGGCTCGTGTCCAGTCGCTGCAGGGACGACATTAGCCGAACGTTGCTATGATCACATTGGCGGCATATAATCGGCTCCAGATTACGTGGCCGATTGTTCTGGCTGCGAGTTGAGGGGAGACTTATATCGCGTGGGGTGAAAAACCAACACGTGTATCATAGGTCATTGACGTCAGGGATTCGTTCCGAGCTGTATTTGCGCGAAGTACAAAAATCGTTGCATTTCCGCTTTAATCTGAGACTGCAGCCTGAGCTACAAGTGCGAGCTAGCCCGCGCTCCTGACTTTGAGAGGTAAATTCCTAGCGCAAGCGCTCGTTTTGCGGAACAACCCTTTAAAGTCGCGACCTTGAGCTCTCGTGCTTGTGGCATATACTACAATCCTAGCTTAACGGGGACCATGAAATGAATTTTCGGATGGGAATGAATTGGGATTTTGCTAGTCGCACATCGTTTAGTGCGCCAAATAAAATTAGTACACGAGCCTAGAAAGCCTAAAGCCTGCTTTTCGGTACAAAAGTTTAAATATATAGTGGACTATTTCGTAGCTTCTTTCTTTCCAAAGTTCTCCGCCTTTTCACTGTGATGCATCCGCGGTACCAATGCACGTCAGCCGAACCCAGCTCACGCATTGGACGCGAGCACTGCGTCACTCGGACCTATACGCTCGTCAACAATCAATCAGTCGATGAATATTTGAATTCCCGTTCGTGGCCAATGAGTGCCGTGACGGCACTTATCAAGATTTGAGAATGACAAGTTCCATGGTCTGATCAAAAAGCACGGTGGAAGCTTCGAGTCATCGCCTCGGGTGCCGGAACATGTCACGACGACGTGATTGGTCATTTCGCTTTAGAGTAGAGGATTCAAGCTAAGAAGTAAAAGCTTTGAAAAATCATTTTATAGTCTCTTTAAAGATGAACGGAGTACATGTGCCTCTTCGTTTTCATATTTTAAACAACAGTAGGCTCATTTTTCCATATAACGCCTTAGGTGTAATCTCGCCTGTCCCACGTTAGCTCAAGATATGAGTGTCGCATGACCGATAGCGTTACCAATAAAAAAAAAAAACGTTCGTTACCCTGTAGTTACTTTCTTTATTGAACAAAGAAAAGGGTAACAATTTCTACAGTACAATCCTGCGGGTGCCATACTTATTGCCCATTTTTCGTTTTCTAATGGCTTAAACAATATAGTGGAGGAGTGTGCCGGGAAGTTGGAACGCTTCTCCGACCGGTGTGCCTCCCGCGTCCAAGAAAGTGATTTCTCGATTTCCGCCTGATGGCGTCAGAGAAGTGTCACGTTGTCGCAGACGTGATGCTGCATTGTCACAGCAGCAATGGTGGACGCTGCTGTGACAGGCCACTAAAGCCCCCTCCAGCTTGACAAACCACTAAAGATTCTCAAGCCCGGACTTGGGACGCCTCGGTGAAAACGACACTCGCGTTCGCTCCTGTTTTTTGCCGGTAGTACTTCTGACGCCAACCGCCAGGATCGCCATGTCCGACAGCATGACGCTCCTATTTTTTTCTGACGTCATTCGTTGCCACTTCCGCGACAAATTTTTGTGTATGAGCAGGAGAGGACGCTAAATACACCAGTCGGAGATGCGTTCTAGGCGCAGTAGTAAGATTATACTAAGTAGTGTCTATGTATACTCATGAACGTGAGACTCCAAAAAACGGGAACAAAATGCAAAAATGTAATTTATTTTCACCTCGTGGAACCCCGGGTAACGAAGTGAAACGCGTACCGTAATCCAATACGTTACTAAAAAATGGTACCATAATTGTGTTACGCTGCTTGTTTTGAAACAAGTAACGAGTACGTAACGACGCGAAACGCGTTTTCGGAAACAGGCGGTTTCAGCAGAGCGCTACATCTGGCTACCGTGCCCATGGTACTGCGCCTGGCGCGCGCTGAGGAGCAAGCTTTGAAGTCTGCTTGCAGCCCCAAACATAAAGCGGCCTTTGATGTTTCATTAGCTACACTTTAAAAGTCAGCTTAATACCCGGTTGAGTGTGCTGCCTTGTATTGTCACTTTCTAAATTTGTAAATGCCCTGCCTCACCGTATTATAACCGTCACTTACGATGGGAGTCAGAAGTGCCATAGAAAGCAGAAACCTACGTAAATTTTGTCATACTTCTTTAGTGTTCAACAGGCTTGGTTAACAATTTTTTTCTTTATTATTTTTTTTTACTGTATAATTTTAAGTTGCCAGCTCTCGATCAGAAGTCAAAGTTATTGAAATCAAATGGCAACCACGTTTTTACCACATCACCTTAAGCTTCCTGGAGTGGATAACGTTGCATTGTAATACAAAGAAAATTTGAAGAACCGGTAAAACCATATGCCGCTAGGGGGGGGGGGGGGGGGGGGGGACAATTCGCTGGCATGACTAAAACATAGACCAAAAGAGATTGTGTGGCAATCAGGTAGATTTCACATTTTTCTTTGTGTAAGGACACTCTTCCTTTAGATCTTAGCTTTGTGGACTTTGACTGCACTCGTGCTGGCCCGAGGAGCATCTGCTGGGACGGTGGACCACAGCCGCCATGCGCATCACCAGGTCTCAAGAACCACAGCCCGAAAACAGACGGGTACCAACAAGGAGTTCCTCAACGAGTCTGAACAAAGGGGGGCGGTACCGTCGAATCCTTTCTGTGAGTATTGGAGCCTCGAGCAACACATGTTTCAATTGCTCCAAACTAGGGAATCTATTTGTATAGAATGTGGAGAAGATAAACTCTTAACGACTCCCTAAACAGGTAAGCAAAATAGAAGTGGTCCCGCCGGTGTTTATAGCAGGTTTCTTTTCAAGTTATCAAAGGTAATTAGGTATTTCTAAGGCCTGAGAGAAGATAAAACCTCACTCCCAATTCTTCATTTATATAATTGATTCAACAAGCTCTGGGACCGTTTCTTGTATGTACTTTTGGTTGTTTTTGTACTTCCATAGATTAAGAAACATTGTGCTTAAAACATATAGGCACAGCGAAAAAAAGAAGACTACACGTGGACAAAAATGTTTTACATCTAATTTTTTTAAAGCAATAAACTCAAATGTTGTGTTCAGAAAACCGACATCACACCACCAAAGTTCAGTAAAATATCATCCTTTTTTGTTATACTGCCGGGTGTCATCTTTCTTTGATAAAATAGGTCCCAAACCAGCCTGGACAAATATTTTTTAATTCGTTATTTTATTGCGAAGCGGTCCTTATATATGCTAAAACCTCAGGCCATTGTTAGTCACACCTCACCCCCTGCTAACTCTAGGTAAACAACGCCTCCTAGACAACAAGGCCGTGTGCTATAGTTTCTACATCATCAACCGAAGGCAAACGAAATGAAGAGAAAAGACACGACTACAGCATCAGCGTTCGGCTGGGACGCGTGCCTCCGGTAGGTGACGTAGAGAGTCAGCCATAAGGCCTTTGTTATCTCGTAAGAGTTTGAAACAGCTACACTAGTATTTCGAAAGTGGCAAATTATGACGTCATAGATACATGAGAGTTAAATGATATCTCACACACAGCTGCAGCCGGCCCAATGCTGAACCCCAGTTCTCCACTCCTGGCCACTACGTACTACTACAATCCTCATCGACAAGGAACGCCGTCATCGGGCGTGCATCGGCACCACGATCTGCTGAAGGAGTCCGGTGACCAGGAGACGTGTAGGGCGGCCGACGGCAGAGACGGCACCTGCTACGATGCCGTCCAGTGCCTGAATCGCGGTGGCACCCCCATGGGCAGGTGTGAGAACGGCGTCTGCTGCGTCTGTAAGTCCTCGACCACGTAAGATAGATGAAATATTGATATCACTGAGCATATAATAAAATATATTCACCAAGGCGAGGTCACCAAGGCGCAGAATACTTACTCATGAATTGTCTCAAATTCGAAATGGAGAACAAGACGCGATTGCTAGTTACGCTACTGGTGACCGCTTAAGTATATTGCCTGGTTCGGGAATCAATCCCAGAACTTCCCCAAAAATAGCGGAGTGCTCTACAAACTGAGCTAATATTCGTTTGCGTTTCTGGGGGCTAGCCCCTAGATAGCTCGATTGGTAGAGCGCTTTATTAGTCTTGCAGAGATTTCGGGATCGATTCCTCAATTGGGCGGAATTCTTTCAGCGGCCACCAGTTGCCTGAAGGACGAGACTTGAGCTTATCTTCAATTTCAGGTGGAATCAATTTATTCTTGCATGAGCATATAATCAGTCGGGGAAACCTTTGTATCGTGATATCGCAACTTGGGTTGACAAGAAACAAGACTGGATCGCAGTGATAAATTGTCGGGTTGCTTTCTGCAATAAAGTAGATTAACAATTAGCATAAACACAGTAAGTGTGCATGCGAGATCGTGTAAGTTTATCATCAATAATTCAATCAATGTTATATTTTTCTTTCGTCAAGAAATGGGGTAGCTGGACAGAAAGCTGGAGTGCTGTAGCTTGTCGGGTACTATGATAACATTAACCTAAGACTGGGGCACAAAAGCGAAACATTAATTGTCCCGGTCTTGCGTGGATGTCGACATATAGCGTCGTTATTTTTGACAGTGTTGAACCCCTCTGGTTTAAGTAGGGCAAAAAACACGAGCCTTTGTCAGCCGGAAAAAGTTAAGGTTAGCCATTTGGAGATCAGAGCAATCTTCGACTCGTGCGGGCAATTACTGATCGCCACGACAAGCTGGTGTGGTTTTATCGGAATACATATATCATTGTTTATTGTAATTAAAGTGACTAGGATTCCTATGAGATGTCTCAAATTAGTGTTTATTGTCTGTCACTGCACGATAGGACGAGGTTCCTGGAAAAAAAAGACGTGTAAAATAATCGTCTTACATGAACGCAATCTAACAAATAAACAATTTTTAGGTAATTGTTCGGCAATTATTTTTGTGTCCTTTATCATCATTGCGCCCGAACGCAGTTGAGGTGTCGTGTGGCGAGGCGAGCTCGGAGCGCACGGCGTACGTACGAAATCCGGGGTTTCCGGGCTCCCACAACCGAGAGGCCATGTGCAAGGTGCGCGTGTCCAAGCGGGACGCCGACGTGTGCCAGTTCCGTCTGGACTTCCTGACGCTGGACCTGGCGCGCCCGATGGACGGAAACTGCTCACAGGACATGCTTGTAGTGTCAGGCCAGAACGAGAACAACCAGGTGCCAAGGGTGTGCGGACTCAACACGGGACAGCACGGTCAGTGACGCGCGTTAACGCAACATACCCACACGGCACACCAGGTTCCTCTGACGCCTTATGTCTGATTCACACGACGGACTGATTTGCAGACGCATTGGTCACGTGCCGACACGTCAGAGGATTGCCCGTCTCCCAAGCGCGTTCCCACGAAGGAGACACCGAGCAGACGACAGCGAGGTCGGACCGAACGTGTTCGCGACCCCACAGTGCCGCGAAATTCCAGCATCGCACTGTGGCACCGCTGTCCAAGAGCGAGATCGACGTTTGCCGCTATGATTACATTGATACCGCGAAAGAGAATTGCTGTATTCCGCTATTACGTACAGAGCGAGACAGAACACCATGACTGGCTTAGCGAGCAGCGCCACTACCTTTACTAACCCAAGGCATGACAGTGACACAAGTATGTTGCCGCTTGAGGAGGCTTCGGCGTGGAAACGACAATCTTGGGCTCCCGAAGGGGCGCTTGGGGATGCCTTTACGCACTTCGTGCTCGCGCAAAACACTTTTGTACAACACAGTCAGAAGAAATGTCTTCCTGTGTGAAACGCTGATTGGACGTTTAAAAAAGATCTTGGCGTGCTAGACGAGTTTTGACTGAAGTTTCTTTACGTGGACCCGAAGGACTACCGGAACCTGCATCCCGTCAGCCGGGCAGTTTCTCCAGCTTATTTCATGCATAGAATCAAGTATCGTGCGATAAAACGAACCAGTGAACACGCGGAACACAACGATAATAATAATAATTTATTTATTGTGCCCAGTAACAGCCGAAGCCTAAGCACTGGTGCACTTGTTAGGATTCATGTACCATATTCGTTTTTTCTCGTACAAAAACAATACAAATCGTTGTACCGTTACCAGACTAAGCTGTTTTCAAGTCAATCCCCCGCCAAAAATCCGCGATTTTTTAATGGCGCTCGGCCTTTCAGTCTCCGCGTCCGGGGTCGAGGCGTGGGTCGCATGAATTATGACAAAATGGGCTCGTGGTACACGGTCCGTGGACGAAAATTGCAATTCGGTCCGTCGTGTGAATCAGCCATGAATTACGTCGTCAGTATCCTGTGGATGTCAATGAAGGCACTACGATGATTAACCTTCATGAATTGCCTCAGAATAGTCATTTTCCTATGGTTATAAGCTTCCATAAAGTCATCCACGCCATGCATGTTTATAGATGGTTGCGATAATATCGTACGGGCGTCTATCGTGTCCGGGCAAAACAAGAAGAGCCAAATTCCGAGGCTGTGCTGACTCAACACATGACAGCATGAGCAGTAACGCGCTCTCGCACAGCGTATACTCTCACGGCACACATTGTTCTGCAGTAGAAGGTTGTAACCGAGTTGTATTTCCTTGATAATTTTTTGTCCTACAAGCCTTAAACATGACGCAAAGCAGTGAGCTGCTTGAAGTGAAACTTCCCCTATGATCTTATATTGAAAAAGAGATTTGGTAATAACTTTATTGTGGTATTGAATTCAGGGTTGGACTTTGATAGACCATTTGCTAAATCCCCAAGCGCCCGGCCCGCACTAGAGGAATCATGTGAACGGCGTTTTATCAATTCTATAGTGATCAGTCATTTCGACCGACGCGATGGTTACACACTTTTCAGTGTAATCCGGGGTCATCCTGAATGAGCGTCCCGTAGAGTCCAAAGACATTTCATATCACCTTTAAAATTTCTCGTCGATGTCAATGGTTTTTATACTGTGCATATGCCAACCACCCTCCAACCTAGCCTGAGTTGCAGATATCTCTTACAATATTATCATTTTCGCCCAGCTTCAAAGATGCTGATATTAACTTAGAAACGCTAAAAATGCGATAAACAACCACGTAAACTCCGAGCTAAATCCTGGCTTTGGTTCTTGTGAACTCTCAGCTTTTTAAGCAATTCCTGCTAAAACAACCATGAGAATGACAATATTGTAGGAGATTTCTGCAGCTCAGTCAGCTTGAAGGGTATTGGGCATGCACAGTATCGAAATCGTTGATATTAACAAGAAATGTTTAAAATATCGTAACTGGTCTTTGAACTCCACATGAGGCTTATTCAGGATGACTCCGGATTACATTCAAAAGTGTCAAAGTATAGAACTAGTCAAAATTACCTGTCACTAGGGAGCTGAAGGAACACCGTTTCCATGATTTCCGTGCGGGCCGGGATGCTTGGGGAATTTAGCAAATGGTCTATAAGCTAACTACTGTAGTACGTCAGGTGCGACGACCAAAATTGGTGAAAGAAAGAACACAGGCCGTGACTACGTTGTCGACAACCAGCGCCTAATTTAGACTGATGTTTTTTTTTTATTTCATGGCTGCATGTTTCATGTTTCTTTCATGTATGTGTGTTACATCTATCTTATTTTCAGTTTTTGCTGACTTTTGTCGTAATGCCTCATCTTATTTCTGACTCAGTTTTTTTTTCCTAATTCTACGGGGTGAGTAAATTGGGTAATGATCTTCTGTAGCTTTCGAAACTGCTTGAAGTTCTTGTGTCACGTGAGTAAGCTATCTTACTGGGCTTAGCTAAGCGTTCAAAGTTCCGCCGTTCCTATAGCTTTGTGTGAACATTTTAACGTACCTGACCTCTGCCTCCATTTTCCGATGTACATCAGCAGGAGAAACTCAAAATACACAAATGGTTTGTCATTTTTTTCTTCAACAGCGTATGTGGACGTTGAAGAGTCGGGGGGCATCAGTCTCAACCTAATGATGGTCGGAAGCTACTCGAGAAAATTCGACATTAAGGTGACACAGCTGGAATGCGAAGGACCGCAATCTGGTACGTGGATTGTCCTCTTTTACGTTTCCTCTGTTGTTGTAACTAAAAAAACTCACGCTTCCACGTATACGAGGGGGAAGGATATCTCAAAACATGTACGCTCATGATTAGGTTGTAGGTTAAGCAAAAAGGGTTCCCGACATTGTAACTTTAGTTTCTTTTAAATTCTGTCGCATTTAAAGGCCCAAGCTCACGCCGAATTCACTGTGCGTCATTGATTCAGCCGCTGATAGCAAGCTCACAAAGACTACGAGTGGTGTGACGATGCACTTCCGGAGCTACTTGATTGTTTCCATGGGATTGTAGCATTGATTACGATCGCACTTATGAAACTGATTATAGATCGATCTGATCTGGAAGATAAGTTACTTAGTATCGTTTGTGCTTCAAAATAATTGACCTAAAGTTCATTCCTTTTTAAGCATTGAACCAAGTATTGCTGCTCACGAAATAAGGAACCTAACCCAGACACTATAAGCAACAACTCCTCCTGCCTTGAGCAACTCCAACCTTGTGAATCTTAATCGATTAACACCCACATTTAATGTACTGACTTTAGATAGTGAATTCAGGCATCGTCGATCTGTATAGCAAAATTGAATGCCTATCCAAGCTGCCGTCCACAATATAGAGGAAATTATCGCAGGTTTGTGTCGGCTGCGTACGGACAAATCCGGCGATGCGTAACAACTTAAGCAAGGGTATTTTCTTGCTATTACTAATTACTCAAACATTCGGAAATCTGGTAAGTTGGGCCTGCATAAGTTCTTGTGTTGCAATAGAGTGGTTTCACGTGACGGACTTCGGTTTCAAATTCTCACCGGGCGCCATGTTGACGAACTAATCAAATTCTCACCGGGCGCCATGTTGACGAACTTGAAGTTCTAATGGCTCGGATAAACGAAGTAGCAAGCAAATTGGACATCCCTGTTCTGACAGCTGACCAGATAATTGTGGCGCATAGACTTGCCTCCCGGCCCAATAAGATAACTGGGACCATTGTTCCTTTTGCCAACCAGGTGACCCGAGACCAATGGCTTGATAGACGCTTTAATCTAAGGCATGCTCGGAACAAAATCTACATCTAGGAAAGCCTGACTGCAGCAAGATAAGTCGCTACTCTGGGAAGTGAAGGAAGTGGCAAAGGAGAAAAAGATTCCAGTATGTCTGGTACAATTATGGAAAAGTGTTTGTAAAAGAGAAAGAAGGGACCTGGAGTGCAGGGTGTGAAGTCAAAGGATGATTTGAAAAAGTTTCAATAGTTTTTTTTCTTTGCATTTAAAGACTAGTTATTTCGTTTTATACCATGAGTGACAACCATTAATTGTTACCTAAAGAAGTTAGGCTCATCTTTACGGAGGAAACCAAAGTGCTTTTTTTTTTAATTTCACTTAGATGTGCAATCATTTAGGAATAAATATGATGAACTAAATATATTTATGGAAAGTTTCAGTTTTCGATTATATGCCATCATGCTTTCAGAAAATTGGTATAAAATACTGATGAAAAGGATAACTTGAAGGGTTACAATTAAATCATAGTAGTAAGGTAAGAGGCAGTATAGCAATGTATGTAAGAAAAAACACTTCAAATGTTCCGTTATTACTGATTTCACAACTATTTCAAATGACTAAGAAATCGTAACTTTGCAGCATGAGAAATCTGTATATTCCGTAGTTTATCGTCCGCCTTGTGGGAAACTGTTGTTTTGTTTTGTTTTTCGAAATCCTTGAAGTGTTGTTTTTTTTTTCTTTATCGCTGAAAACGGCTTTGCTTTATACTTTGGGGGCGACTTCAATATAGATATACATGCTCCCTGACATTATTCATTCATTCATTCACTTGCTTTAAACAAGAAGTGCTGTCTTTTTATAAATCGTATCGGATGTCCAATGTTATTCCTCATCCTACCCCAAAATCAGTCTAATAACGACCCATGAACAGGTGTTACACCTGTTCATGAGGCGTTATTAGAGTTATATTTTTAACGAACCTTTCTAGATGTTAAGTAATTGCGGGAGTAGGTTGGAGAAACGATTAGTAATCAGCTTTCGATATATCAGCTTTCTAATATGGGCTATAACTTTAAAAAACACGTGGTCCTGAAGTATACTTAAAAATATAAGCCCTAAAAACTTCAAAATTTTTAACACCATACAGACTCTATCTGCAATCTGGAGTGCGGTACCGCACTTCAGATTGCAGATAGAGTCTGTATGGTGTTTGACCGTTTTCTTGAACAGCTTAGAGTTGTGTACGACCGCTGTTTTCCTTAGAATTTGCAAAATGTTTTCCGAAAACCTCGGAAACCCTTTATTACGACAGAAATAATAAAACGATAAATAAAAAAAAAACTCTTTACCACCAATTCGTGCGCACTAAAGACAGGTATATTGTCTGAATTTTAAAAAAAGGGACAAAATCAGCTATCAAAGAATTTAAGGCAAGCTAAACGTGCTTATTTTGACCATTTATTTCTAGATACTAAGCTACCAGATGTTATCTGGAAAAAGCTGAATGGCTTAATTAAACAATGATTGTGTGGGCATCGGAACCTTGTTCAAAGTATACAATAGGCAGAGGCTTCTATATATGTGCAGAGTATTTCTCCTGGTCTCCTTTTGTTCCCAACTGACGAAGATGAAGTGTACTCAGTTTTTTTTTTAATTTAAAGAATAGTGAGCGCACTGACATAAATTACCTTCAAATTAAACCTATAAACTATCTACTGCGGTACATTGCTCCCTGTCTGACGCATCTTTTTTAAACTGCACTAGAGAATGGAACATTTAAAAAAAACTTGCAGGCGGCAAAGGTGACAATACTGTACAAAGGTGAGAAAAAAACAACTTGGGGAAATGTCAGGCCAGCGTCTGTTTTGCCCGTATTTTCTAATGAACTTGAAATGATTTTACATAACAGGTTGTATAGTTTTTGTGAGAGATATTCTAATCTGAACGACTGTCAACATAGATTTAGAAAAAGTAGATCTGCAGAATTTGCATTATTAAAGCATAAGGAGTTCATCTTTAGCAATATAGGAAATAACCTGTTTACACTTTGAGCATTTATAGATATTTCAATGGCTTTTGACCGCTTCAATCATAATACTTTGCTCTAAAAACTTTATATGTACGGTGTGCGTGGTAGAGTCCTAAGTATAGTCAAAAATTATCTTCATTATCGCTACCAGCGTTTTGAAATAGATAGAAAACGATCTCAATTGCAGCCATTAACAACTGGAGTGCCACAGGGTAGTAATTTGGGACCACCTCTTTTTGACTTGCATGTCAATGGCATTGTAAATATCGTTGACAATTACGTTTTATTATATAGGCTATTGATACGAGTTATTTTTTCAGGTACGAATACTGAGCAGATTATGAATGCCTCAAATAAATGTCTAAATAAATTAAATTCTTAGACAGTGTCTAATTCCTTACAAAATAATTGTGATGAAACTAAAGCCGTTCTTTTTAGAGTAAGAAATACAAATTGCTTTCATGAGTCAACTCTCTCCCTCGGAACCCATAAGATCGATATAGTCTAAAGTGTTAGAGTGTTGGGTGCGATATTTATTCAATACATGCCATGGGATGAAATTGTACATTATACATGTCAAAAACTCTCAAAGGTCGTAGGTGTTACCTACAAATATCGTCATATAGTCCCAACATCAGCAGTGCTTCTTTTATATATATATCATTCTATTTTTTACGTAATTTATAATTACTGCTTTTTGGTTTGAGAAAGTACCACGTCCATAAATCTCAAGCAGATACAAATTTCGCAAAAAAATCTTTGTGTGTGTTATATGCCATACTGCATACATGCTCATACGAAACCATTGTTCAAAAATGTTCATATTGTACAGATTTCTAATTACTATAATTATAAACTTTGCATCACATATAAAAAGTATTTTTATCTAAAAAAAACGTATTTCGGTCTCTTTCCCAGCTTACAATAAGAAAAACAATTTATGAGACACGCAGCGCAGATATGTGGTTAGTGCCGCACGCCAGAACAAATTATGGAAATCAAAAGTTGCAAAGTGTTCTTCCCCGTCTCTTAAATCTTTTGAGGGATTAAAGCATAAAAAATCTGTCTGCGATAAACAAATATTTGCTTGCATTGTTAATGAGACTCCAATATCAGTGTAAGTGCCTGAAGCGTGGTAATTTTTATTGCTTTTCTTTTTTCAAACGAATAATTTCACATACTATTTATTTTTGTGTCTTAACTGTTTTGTGTGCTTTGTTTCTGCTGCTTATGATGGGAGGTGGAGGCCCGTCTAGAAACTGTTCACTTGATTTTTATTCGTTTTTCCTCTCCAAATAGAGAAAAATTAAGAATTTTGATTAAACATTTCGCCCTCTGTTCTTCTATGCGCCGGAGGCAGTGTTTTCCAGATCGCTCGATTATTTGTACCGTCGTGATCAACTGCGCCAGGCAGAATCGTGGGTAACGTAAAGGAGTATCGGCTGGTACTAAATTGTTTACATACCGCTTTTAGTTTTGACTTAGGACGACTCGGCAATTGAGAGGTCTATCCGTCGACGGCCAAAATGTTGCCCCGGTAGAAGCCACCGGGACGATTTCTATGGGCGATGCAACGATTTTTGTATTTTGCGCAAATACCGCTTAGAACGGATCCCTGGCGTTAATGACCTGTCAAATACCCGTTCGTTTTTCACCACACGCAATCGAAGTCGCAGAAAAAAATATAGAAAAACGAGCAGAGTTCACCCCCTCAACTCGCAGCCAGAACAAGTGGCCACGTGATCTGGAGCCGATTATATGCCACCAATGTTGATCATAGCCACGCGCTGGGGTTGGCAAGGCATAGGACACGCGCTGCGTTCCAGACATTGTTATGGTTCGGCTGTTGTCGTCATTGCAGCGATTGGACACAGGACACTACCCGAATGTTTCTCGAGCTATAGATTATCACGAGCCCAAATTGAATGCCCACGCAATGCTCGGGTCCAACCTATGAGCCGCATTCAAATATCGTCACTGGGCGGTACTGCTACCGCCCAGCTACGTCATCGGGTTTTGCGAAGGAGAGATTGAATGAAAATGCTCGGTCTTGTCCTTGAAATTACACCGCAAAAAAGGAGTTTCTTGGTCAGTGGCGTTGCGTGCGAGTATCCTTGAGTCCCACTAGTGCGAGTAAGCTCATGTAAAGTGAAGAACATTTTAATTTAATTTTGTTGCACCGCCCCTTTAATGAAATCGGAGTGGAGGCACGATTTTACGCGGCCTAAAATATGTCCACTAATGTTCTAATTGAGCTTTTTCATCGACAGAGCCACCCGCCATGCTTGTGCGTTTTACCAATACCTAACTCGACGTCAATAACTGATCGTCTGCATGCAAACGGATGGCGAAAGTGGCGGACCTTGTCCATCAACATGGTGGAACGCTGCTTACCTGAAGTAAAGAGGCGATATGTGAAAACGCTCTATATACTCCATGATGACGACGATGACCTCTTTTCTCGGTTCCCTCGACACCCTGCAGCTCCGTCGCACTGCCTGCAGTACTTCTGGGGCACGCACGGCACGGTGAAGAGCTTCAACTACGACGAAGCCGGCGGCAGCGTCCACCAGCAGGGCTACCCTAACGACCTTGACTACGTGGTGTGCCTCCGAAAGGAGCCCGGCTTCTGCTCGGTCTCGTACGAGATCGCCACCGCCGACGACGAGGTCGGACCGTCGCCGTTCGGCGTCGGTGCTGTGCCCACGCAGCGAGAAGGGTGGGTCATTCGGCAACGAGCTTCGCCACAATCAGAACGGTCTTTATGTTGGATAACAATGACGTAGTGGTGAATGGAATAAAATAAAATAGAAAATTTTTATTTGCAACATACATCTTCGTGTATAGGTGTATAGTATAATAACGAGCTAAAAAAAGTTTCAAGGGCTCGTGTACCTAGCTCGGCAGATGGCGAAAATTCGGCATATTTAATATTAGACATTATTATGTAAATCGTTTGCATTAAAAGTAACATATCTACAAAGTTGCATCTTATATTGATAACAAAAAGACAAAGCAAAACAATCAAAAGCACGGAAAATATAAAGTTCAAATCAATTAGTGAGGAAAATGAAACAAACTACATGAAAAAACAACTAAAAAATCTTACTGTCTTAAAAGTTTTAGCAATTTCCTAAGCTTCTGTCCGAACGTTGTAGAAAAAGGTATCAGGGAGGTCATTGAAAAGATGTGGTGCCTGAGACATGTTCATACGTTCGCCATATTTTCCTTTAATTTGCGGAACATCATATCAAATAGAAGGTCTCAGTGGCCACTGTACAGTGTGAGGCGTTTCGAAATCACAATTCCAAAAATATTTAAGTATGAACGTATCTCTCTAATCCCGAAAAATGATGGCAGATGAAGTGCGCTAAATATACATCTACTTGAAAATTCAGGTCTATCCAACGACAATCTTTTCGAATTATTTTTTAAGAAAGAGTTAACACTGGTACGCGTGATCTACAGGTATGTGATCAATGGGATCGGCCTCTCCTGCTCGCTTGCCGGGGCCCGGCGGGACAACTCTCATGCCAATAGATGGGCAGTTTGGTTGCCCTGTACGGCGGAGTGGGCGGGTGCCCATATGATCCAGATGGGTCTGTCCGGCGGGTGTTGGGAGACAATCTGTTCTGTTGTACGGTGATCGCTTTCGCACGAGAAGTTACGGCACGCTTGCTGCGAGTCAGCAATGATCCCTTCGGCTGTGGTTTGCGCAATGGCGAGAGCGATGGCCGCTTCCTCCGCTTGTAAGCAGTCATGTTTCGCCAGGTAGCGCTAGGCTGGTGACATGTCGATTGTGTTGGGCGACTACGGCCATCATTGCTCTTATGTCGAAATAAAGGGCCGCGTCTGTGTATGCGGTGGCTCATTCGTTGCCGTGGCGTTTGTATAACGCCTTGTATCTCGCTTCAATGCGCCCAGCGTGATGCTCGGGGAGCATGTTGCGAGGGAGCAGTGGAACGGAGAGTTGTCTCCTGATCTCGTGAGAGAGACTCACAATTTCTGAAGGGAGATGCTGTAGAGGGGTTGTGAGCCCCATTCAAAAGAGGAGAATCCTCCGAGCTCCCGAGGCTCCCAGCGTCAGCCTTTGGCTCGAAAGATGGGCTTCCATGAGCTCGTCGGTCCTGTTGTGCAGGCCAATATTTAATAGTTTTTCGGTTTCCGTGCCTACCGAAAGTCCGAAGGCCGGAAGTATGCGGGCTTTCCTGATTACAGCACATACCTTCTTGGTTTCTGCCTTGGGGAGGGGTGCATAAGGTATGGCGTACGAAATTAGGGAGATTATGAATCACTGGACTAGGGTAGCGTGCAGGCCACGCGCATTCGCATCGTTTTGGTGGCTATACGTCGGATCACGTGTGTGACTTGGTTCGTAGTTTCAACCGACCGCTGACGCACGCTCGTGTGCGAATTGTTCACCACGTTGGCCTTCGTTTGGGTGACGTTGAACATTCAACACTACGGCTTTGTTCTCTAATACTGCATCCACACTATAATTCGAATCGCGCTTGACTCGCCAGTGTGAATGCGGAGTAACAGTACGAGTAAGAAGTCGTTGGAGTACACCACGTACCGGCCACGGCATCAACACGGGGTTAGATGTAAAACTAAAACTACCAGTTGAAGGTATGCAGTTTAAATATGTCAACTCTGGTACCAGTCGAAAGCTGAATTACATAACTTCTGTACAATATGCCTCTACCAGATTCCGAGCCCTTCGACCGGGATTGAAACCCGATTTAAACTTAGCCGATAAAAACTTAGCTAGGCACCTCGACCTGGTGCTGAAAAAAAAAAACGGATTAACGTGCTCGTGTTTTATTATTTTTTCGCAAGTCATCTTTTCACTCAAAGAATAATTCAAATTTGGATTAGTTTAATGATTAATACTGTAGTAAAACTCGCCGTGGTTGATTTTTCTAGTGTACAGTTGACGTCATCACCAATCGTGGCTGAGTGCCCCGACGACTACCTGATCATCGGAGGAGTGCGAATGTGTTCCACGGGGCACGACGGGGACATTGAACTGCGGCACACAAGAGACCTCAACGTCACCGGACTCAACCTCATCACGGGTAATCTCGGTCGCTGAACTTCGGAGAGGTCGAGCCTCCGTCCCACTGAAGGGCCTTAGCTGTTAAGGGAAAAGCAAAGCGAAGTAATAGTTGTCGCCCTCACTGCGAAAATTACGAATACATCTGTATTCCCTTTTCTTGTTAGGTCCGGTAGCAAGGGCCCACTCTAATATGCCATCGAGCCCATTAAGCATGAATCATGGGCTCTGGACTCATCAAAAACAGGGTTGGAGCTGAAAGCTCGCGGAGCGCGCCGATTGCATTTTGGCGACCCAAGTGCGGCGACATCGTCGCAAGAACTTTGTGTTTGACGAGTGTACGGCCCCAAAGTGCACCGTAATGGCGATCGTCGTCTTTTGTGCGTTTTATACGGCCCGTTAAACCAATCACGCACAAACAAGAGAGCAGGATCCTGGTGCATTGACTGTGCATAATGTCTTTAGTTGGTGAAATAGGTGAAAACAAATTCACAAAAGCGAAGACCGCCGTGATAAAGCACTCTTGATGCTGCTTGATTAGCTTCATTGGATTCTAGTGTTGACTGTGGTTCATTTTAACCTAAAATGGAGTATAGTTTTCTGGGCAGCACTTCTCAGAGGAAAAAAAAAAACATATGTTGACCGCCGAAAAAAAAAAGGTTTAAACCTAGAAATAGTCTACTAGTGCATCACATTCTTTATTTCTTATATATTGTGACACATGGATGATAACAAAGCGAGCACTGGAGGCGACAGCGACGACATATCCGAGCATTTACGTCATGTGCAGTGTGTCCACGCTTACCAATTTCTGTGCAGTTGATTTTTAATGTCTGATGCTGAGCATGGGGTATTTTTTGTTTCGGTAAAGCCGAAAATATACAGTTTTAAATCAATGTGAAAGTCAATATATGTATAATTTCCGTGCGCTACAACGAATAATTGTCGTTTCCCTAATGCTCACTATCAAGGACAGCTAAGACAGGAGATTCCTCACCCTTTGTTGAAGATATTCCTACAATTCCAAGCGTGTCAAATATATAAGTTGTTTTCTGACTTTCCTTTTTTTTAATTTAAGTCTAACATGGTTGATCTGCTCCTCCATTAACACTACTTGCACCGCTGCATAGCTGTTCTTTCTCCTTGAGTCACACGAACGGCCCTTCAAGCCACTGCTCTCTTTCTTCCTAATAGCGACCTGACTTTATCGAATTGTTTTTTAACTGAACATCCGAAACCATGAGACTTTCGTCTTATCATAATCGCGGTGCAAAATATTACTTTCGTAAAGATGTCAAGCTATCTTGCGACTACCAGTCGAGCCCGCATTCCGGCGCCATTGTCGAAAGTATACTTCGGAACTGATATAATGGCGGTTAGACGACATCTGCATCGAGGCATCCAAACCACCCAGTTCAAAAGTTACCATTGAAACCACCAATTGAAACCACGTTGACGAAAAAAAACAACCTTACAACGCAAATGTCCACAAGGACAAGGAGGGGTGGAAAAAGGACGAGCGCTCAAGCTGTGCCTACTTCTTTTTGTCCTATACTTCGTTTCAGCTTCGGTCCAGACGCAGCCAAAGCTACAAGCGCGAGCTCCGGGCTTTCAGCATCAATGCCAAGCACGCGCGCTCGTGCAGTGCAAGCGCTTTTCTGGGCCACATGCTCGCGCTTGTAGCATCGGCTGCGTCTGGACCGAAGCTGAAACGAAGTATAATAAATGTTTGCGTCCTGATTTTTTTTTTACTAACATGTGTAATTAGCAATGATCCTGAGAAGGTAACAACGGTAGGTAGGCCATCCAATTTTCTCGCTTCCAGCGCGAGCTTCCAATACCCTCGAAAAATTTTCGGCGTCTCCTGAGCTTCGAGCATGCAAGTGCAGCCAACGCACAACGAAAGGCGACGAGTGCGTGCCGGAGGCCGGGCGACCGAAAAATACCCTTTGCCGTTCGCATGGTGTCAGTGACGTGCTGTCTACACTCTCAACAAAAGGGTTGTCGTAGGGTACTACACTTGGGGTAGTCAGAAGCCGTCACAGATATCGCTACCCCCCTTCGTTATACTAACAACCCCATGGGCAGTCACACGGCACGCAATCAGCAGGTAATCATAGTGAGCACCCCCAAGAGCAACATGGCGGCTGGCAAGCGACAGTGGAGAAATACGAGTAAGGCCTAGCGAGCTGGACTGCTTTTTGCTAAAATACGATTCTCAAGTGCGTACGCCCGTTCGCTGCCTTCCGTGCGCACAAAGCACTCCGAAACGTGCCTCGAAGCACCGGCACCGCACCTAATACGAGTAGGGGCGACGATGTGAGATAGGCGGGGGGGCGCATTCGAGGGGGTTTGTTCGCGATTGCTTTCGCGAGGCCGGCTGCATTTACTTCGCGGCCAGAAAACATTCAAAGAAGGAAACAAAATAGCGACAAATGGAATGATGTCTTTATTGAACAGAGCATCTGCTTGCTGTGCTTGCCTCAAGTGATCCGGCGTTTTCGGTTGACAGCGGCGAGGCGAAGCATCACCGATTTAAGCGGCGTCGGTTCCGATCGTTCAACGCTCCTGCTCACCTGTTAGCATTCGTTATCCACTTTCAAGTCCCTGGTAATCCTCACCGCGTCTGTGCACGCACTTGGCGCTATTCACCGCACGGAACACCCATTCACCTGGCTATGGGGCTGATCCCATTTGGACGAGAGGCCGAGGACCGAACCAGACCGAACCCTTTGTGACTGCTACGTGGAGCCATGGAACGCAACGCCTCCATGTTTTTCACTCAAATAGGTAGACACGTAAACGCGCGACTCCTTGAATTGGGCGGCGACACGCGCCACCTAACGGACAGCGCTCAAACCAAAGAAAAAAAGAAACCAGCAATTCTTGCTCGGCAGAGCGTCTCGCCGGACAATACCGTATGTACAGTCAGGGACAAAAGTCTCCAGGACACGCGAGCTGCGACTGAAACGCATTGTTCTGCCATCTGCCGGCGGGTCGCCTGGTTTCGAGATCACAGAAAAGCGCATGCGCGTCCTATTGTGCCTGCCAACATGTGCGCTTTCCCGCTCTTCTGCGGCGCGGCGCCTAACTCGGAATCGGGCGCGGGGTACCGCCTTGGAGATAGCGCTTACTGACATGGCACCTATAAAGCAAGAAGTAACGGCAGCTCAACTGAGCGATAAAATCAACTGGTTATAAAGCAAGGTGCGCTGACACGGCGAAATGCGGCACAATGCCCCAGGCGGTATCTCGAGTTTCGGAATGTGTAGCAGACGCTCGTAAGCCGCCAGCGCAATCTCCGAGGCGGTACCACGCGCCCGATTCCGAGTTAGGCGCTGTGCCGCAGAAGAGCGGGAAAACACACATGTTTGCAGACAGAGTAGGACGCGCATGCGCTTTTCTGCGATCTCGAAACCAGGCGACCCGCCGGCAGATGGCAGAGCAATGCGTTTCAGCCGCAGCTCGCGTGTCCTGGAACTTTTGTCCCCGACTGTACATATCCCACGCCACACTTCACTCATACCCGACATACAGACATCACAGCATTTTATACATCAACGCATTCAGAAACAGCACAAGATACAACATCACATATTGACACTCTACATTTCTATACACACGTCTAGTCGACACCACCAGGTTATATACTGCTGTATTTTGTGTGACCGATTAGGATGGTGACCACTGTCATATTTTGCATAAATACGAAAAGACTGTGCAAGATTTAGCCGTATATATTCTTTTCCTCTACTGCCCTTAGGAAAGCGCTCGTATCTCTAATGTAGGGCCATTGCAAAAGCGAACTGCAGGTTATAAATAAATTTGAATAGTTGCTACACGTCACATTTTAAACAGTTTCGTTTTCTCGCTTGCCTACACTTCAAGTATACAGAAGCCTGTTTAACTAATTGCATTAATAATCGAAACCAATTTCTGCAATCACAACTTTCTGAACACACTGATGCATTTTCTTTTCTTTTTTTACATATCCAGACTGACTTTAGCGGCGGTTGGGTACACGTTGAGTACACTGAGCACGCGCCGGTGATTTTAGCGAAGCCCGTCCGCCGGTCCTCCCCGAAGCGTGATTTCAGTTTTCTTCTTTTCGCTAAATATCCGTTCTATGCGCTCCCGCTCGCGCCAAGGGGACAGTGCAGAATTGCTGCTTTCGGGCCCGTGCCTTCACCTGCAACTAACGCGAAATACGTATGCTAAATTATCTAAATCCTGGTTGAGACAGTAGTGTTTCACTGCGTGCGTCTGACTGCGTTGCGGCAGCAAGAAATCAGGACATCCCTGCTGCTTATATCGCGTGCCAAGATCAGTCCTTGAATTGGATTCCACGCTTGATACGAAGCACAGACGTGCCGGTGAGTGGCTTTCGGCTCTCGACGCAACGCTGTCAAACGCTAGTGTCTGAACCGGCCTTGTTTGAAGCATTTTTTTATCGAGTATGCTCGATGAAATGTGCCAAATGAACCAGAGAAGGCGAATCATGTACCTCGAGACAGAGAAATAGTGAAATACACGGACATGATCCCAGATATCTGTGTACGTTCGTCCTGTCCGGCCTCAGTCGTGGTGTTCAATGCTTCATACTTCACTGCACTTGACAGCAAAAAAATTGGGTACGACAGGCGCGCAAGTTCGGCGGAACCGAGGAGGCCAGTTGCAACTGATCTGCACGCAGAACTGACTGATCACACCTTTATTGAGAGCACACTCTTTACTGAACAGCACAATAAAAGACGACGAGAGTATCTCGTCCGGCGAACATTCAAGTCAACTCACGCCTGTGCGTAGCTTCCTGTGCTTTTCTAGAGATTTGGTTAAATTCCTCGAGCACGACGCCAGCTGCCAGCTGTTTACTGCTGTACATGGTAAAACCCACGACGGAACCAAAAAGGACAACCGCGATACTTTTTATCTGCCTCGGGTTTTAGCAGGTGCCTACCAAGGTTGCCTGTACTTGTTTGTTTTCTGCCAGTTTAGGTGAACTGAGCCACACGCTTGGTTCGACCGGTTCAAATTTGAATAAATGATAACCAACGCACAAAGAAAACAAGTTTCAAGTACTTTTTGAGATTTTTGAAGTGACTTTTACTATTGAACGACTGCATGCACTTGAATGTTCAATTCAAGAGTTTATAAAACGTGACTACCCCATGCTTGTCACCTGCCAACAGGGTGCTAACTCTCAATGGCTGGAGCCCAGTGGGTCGTTAAGTAAGCCTGTGGGGTAGTTACAGCCGTCGAAACGCACGATGACGAGGGGGGGTGCTCACTTTTTCTTAGAGTGTATGACAAGCACCCTTCTGTAGCTCACCAGTTCATTTTGATGATGCCAAGCTTATCGTCGTCACTGCACCGTCCTTGTTCGCCTTTCCAGACAGCACCCCGGGTCCTTTCTTGATGCGCTTCGTGTCGAACAACGTGAACAACGCCAGAGGTTTCAAGCTTCACTACCGCCAGAACCCCTGCAAGTGACGAGGCGTTTTCCTCGGGACGCTGAACTCCGGAAGCAGGTCATCGGGACGACGGAGCGACACCACCAGCAATTAAATGTGTCCACTTATTTGTCTATGTCTACCTTCGTGTTTTACACTAAATGACGGATGGTGGCCTAATTATTTCCGCATAAGGTGAGTTTATTACAGATTGTACTCGCATCACTGGCTCGACGGAGATCTTCACCAAAAGAGCACATCCACGGAATTTGATGCATACCAAGGGGGAAAAAACAAAATACTGCAAAATCGCGATAGACATGCAATTCTTTAATAACCTGACGACCTCAATAATAATAATAACAAACGACTTACCTCGACAACGTAAAATGTGTTTCTTATGCTGGCCTGCACTACGCCGGTAATGCACTTCAGGTCGTCGTCGTAACTGATCTGCATGACGTGGTTTGATTTTACGGCATTTTCACCCCTCTGGGTTCTTCACAGAAAAAAGCGCACATTGCGGAAACCTCTACGGCCATGGCGATGCACTTGTTTTTTTCGCTCGTTTACCGACGCAATTCAATGAAGGCGCCCGCTGCAACAGAGGCCAGCAAATCTATCGTGTCGTCTACTACCAAAGCAAATCGTAGAGCAATACTTCCAAAATGGCTTTCATCGTTGCAATAAAACACTGAGGCGACAAGAAAATCTTCATAATTAGATATCAAGAAGTTAGGTTGCTTACAAAAAATTATTTACTTGTGAGCAAAAATCTAGCCTCATGTGGAGCCTCCCTGCATTAGCCCATAGCAACGTCCGTAGCAGCGGTTTGGTTGGACCCAGACGCCATGTTGTGACGTAGTCACTTACGGGGTCAATACAGATCCTGACAGATTTTTGTACTCGAACGTGGCACGTGCAAAATCGAACGTTACAGCGCCACACGGACGGTGCAGCCAGCATAACATGGTCGCGTCTTGCGTAAGTCTTCCGGACGTGCTCGCGCCCCCTGCCCCAGAGCAATGGGTCTATTGCCAAGAAACGCTGTCCCTGAGTATCAGAAACCTGCTTATGCCGATCCTTAGTTTTATCATCATTCCACTTCATTGCATCACCATTTTTTTTAATTATTAAGGCGAAAACCCTTATATGTATCATCGTTTTGTCGACCTTATAATCCTTAAAGGAGCGGTGCAACGACATTCAATTGGAATGTTTTTCACTTTACACGAGCTTACTGGCACTAGTGGGACTCAAGGATACTCGCACGCAACGCCACTGGCCAAGAAACGCCTTTGTTGCGGTGTAATTTCAAGGACAAAAGCGATCATTTTCATTCAATCTCTCCTTTGCAAAATTTGATGACGTAACGTGGGGATCGCAGTACACCCAAGTGACGATATTTGAATGCGGTTCATAGATTGGACCCGAGCATTGCGTGGGCACTTGATTTGGGCTCGTAATAATTACTAGCTCGAGAAGCATTCGGGTAGTGGCCCGTGTCCAATCGCTGCAACGACGACAATAGCCGAGCCATAACAATGTCTGGAACTCAGAGCGTGTCCTGTGCTTTGCCAACCCCAGCGCGTGGCTATGATCAACATTGGCGGCATATAATCGGCTCCAGATCACGTGGCCGCTTGTTCTGGCTGCGAGTTGAGGGGGTGGACGCTGCTCGTTTTTCTTTAATTTTTTTTTATGACTTCTATTGCATGGGGTGAAAAATGAACGCGTGTTTCATAGGTCATTAACGTCGGGGATCCGTTTTAAGGGGTATTTTCGCCAACTACAAAAATTGTTGCATCGCCCCTTTAAGCGAAAGCACGTGGGCGACACGAAAGGTGCGTGACCACGTAGCCGAATTAGGGGCAATGAAATTAAGAAGGATGACAAAGCAAATTAAGAGGAATCAAAGTAAATTCCTAGAAGTCGTCCCCTAGGTGTCGCTCTCGACGTCCTCCTAGACATCGTCCTTGACCGGCTTTCGCCTTCCGACACGTAAGCAGTGTACTCGTGTAATGTTTGTATTGCCATCAACTTTCGTCACCAAGGTATGTTACAGTCGAGCTCCGGTACCATGGTACGTGTTCCCAGCACGACCTACTTAATACTTACGACCACTCCATCTAAAAACACTCCAGCACGCACCTCCCGGAGGGCCTAAAGCCCCTCTATCCTGGGAAAAGTGGCGCCATTTTTTTTTTTTTGTGTGGAAATCTTGACATTACTCGCCATGTTCTTGTAAGAACATGGCGTGTAAAATCTAGGGTGCCTCAATGACCTTCTGTTTAGAGTGATGCCACCCTTCGTAGTACCCGATGCCGACAGCACGCGCTCACGGGGAAAATACAAAGAAATCGACGGAAACGAAATGAAACAAATTGGGTTGTGTGTGTGTTTATACAGCCTAGAACTTGGTCTGCCTCACAGGGGCGACGAGTCTCCCAGCTCTAGATGAGAAATTTAGCCAGTGCGGTACAGCCGCTAGCCTGGGGTCTTTAACGTGCATCACGCAGTAGTGATACACGACCGCACGCCGGTACGATGCTCATCCAGATCGAAACGGGCAGGGGTGGGGCTCGAACCCAGGATCCCTGGGTTCTGCAGCGCGAGCTTTCGCTCCACGTGCTCCGAGGAAACGAAATGTCGCCATAGCACAGTCAGCGCCACAGACACGTGCAGGGACACGCTCTTTCACGCGCTTCTGAACAAAACATAAATGTAAAAGTGGGAACAAAATGGCCAGATGTCTCCACCCTAAGCAAAGCGCACATGAAGGCACCCTAGTAAAATCTAGCTCAGTGCTGCGCTACAGCGTTGCTGCGCTGTGCCGCCATGACCTTCCCAAGGGCTGCACGTTGCACGTGCCTCGTGCATCGACGCACCTTGCGCTACTTTTAAAACATGAAGGGGCTTTAGGAAGGCTGAGTTTCAGCGGCGCCTCGTGGCGGGGCCTGAAACTCGGTATATTTTTTTTTCGTCTTTTCCGTGCTGCCCCAGGTTGTATTGGCGGCGCGCGGGCGCAACCAACACCATCTGGTGATGGCTGCGCAGACTAAAAAAGAAAAGCAAACTAATCAACAAATTGGACTCCTTCAGTATCTATTACATATAGAAAATATTTTACGGCGCGAACGCGCTTGAAACCAAAAGCCGCGATCAGCTGCACGCACCCACGGATAACAGAAGAACCCGACGAGGTTGGGGGACCGAGTTTTTGTGCTGCCTAGTGAGAACCGCTCTTACTAGGCAGTGCTAAAGCTATGCTTCGGCCGGGAGCAGGCTCTTCCATAGGGAGCGCTCAGGTGACGGGGTCGTAAGCATAGAGTAGGTCGTGGTCCCCTGTTTGCTAAAATTAAATCTTGCAGGATTCGAACGATACGCGGTCGAGCATGCGCAATCATGCCCACATTAACGGTTGGGTTTTCTGGGTAGTTGGGTTTTCATGTCATATACAAATAGAAACCTTGGCGAGCGAAAATACCCTGACTGTGTCCTTTAAGGGTTTAGGGAGCATGACTAAAATCTCGTCAGATGCTTCCTCTACAGGACTGGGTGCAGTACTTCTGCAGCAAGACGAAAATAGCTGGCGTCCCGTTGCGTACGCGTCGAGCGTTTTAACAGAAGTCGAATAGCGTTATTCACAAATAGAGGCATTGGGAAGCATTCTCAATTGACTGTGAAAGCATTCCACCAGTTTGTCTATGGTATGAAAATAACAATAAAAACACTTTCATCCTTTCCACTCTGGTGAAGAAGGAAGACCAGCGGAGCTGTACAATGGAAAGTAATGGCCGGCCGGCAGTCGGCAAGCCAGAGGGGAAAGGATGTCGCCATCTATGAGCGACGGCGGCAACCAGATGTGTGGCTTGCTGCCGTCGCTCATAGATGGCGGTAGGTGTCCAGAGTTCGGTGTCTTTATTTCTTTGCGGGAATACGATCCCGGGGAAACTAGCCCTTAACTGCCCCGCTGTAAAACTGATTACCGGCCACTCATAGCTATCTGTAAGAAATACATAGGTGAGATGCAACCATGACTTCAGAATTTTTTTATTCGTTTACTGAAACACGATTTTAGAATGAAATTCATTCCAGGCAAGAAACTGCTAGTGGCTGGCATACTGTAGAGAGCACCCATCATTAAAGGGTCAAAAGACGCCGCTGCTGAAGTTGAGGTTCATGCAACCAGTGTATTCTGGGAGATAGTGTCAGCAGCGACTCCGACTAGGTTGTCCGAGGAAATCGTAAAAAAATACAGTATTGTAACCGATAATTATGGCAATTAATGAGAAATCGCCTGTCGAAGGCGTTTGCAATTCATTTGAGTCGTATCTAACAGTAGTAGATGAAATGGTGTTCAAAGGAATCAGAGTGGTAGCACCGCAAAGCATGCATGTTGAAACGCTAGAACGTTTGCATGACGGACATCAAGGAATGACATAACGTAAAGCTAAAGCGCGCAGACTTATCTTTTTACGGTAGTTTAAATGCGGACCTAATTTCGATGATAAGCAGCAGCTCAACTTGCCAACATTATGCTTACGGACAAGAGTGTGAACCTTTGATGATGCGAGAAAACCCGGAACTTCCGTGGAGTCGTTGTGGAACTGGTGTATTCGAGTTTGCAGGAAAGTCGTAATGAATTGTATTCGATGCTCACTCCAATTATCCGGGAGTTGAAAAATTAGAAAATCTGACAGCCACAACATTGATTGAGAAGTTTAAGTTATATTCGCAAGACATGACATAGCGATATGCTAGTCACTTGAGACAATGGTCTGCAGTTCTCTTCACACGAATTCAAAGCTTTCGCGTCTTTCTATTACTTCAAACACACAACCTCCAGTCCCAAAATCCCACGCTCAAATGGTCTAGCTGAAAAGGAATCTGTAAAGCGAATTTTTCAGAAGACAAGTTCAGCAAATGAAGAGATGTGGCAAGGGCTCCTAAACAGATCGACACCTCTTGAAAATGGTCTCTCCCCGAGCGAACTACTTATGAACAAAAACTTAAGATGCAACTTGACCAACTCCTCTTGTAGGAAAAAACGCGTTACAAAAAAAAT